TTGGCTTTTTATACGATGTATTATTGTATGTGGAAGTACTGTAAGATAAACGGGATGTTAAATAAAAATTTGTTTCACTTAAGAAAAAAAAAATCTAAACTTTTTAAGGCACCATTATTTCTCACGATAAACTGTTTCAGTTCTTTCAAGAGCATTGGTCACTTTAAAGCCACCTTGAGTAAGTGCTTTCCAAAACACAAGGACGAAGCCAAAACCCATGGTAGGACACCACCCTCCCCAGAAGTGGAGGAAGATGAAGAGACCCAGATTTTGAAGCCTGGGACCAGTTTAGCCTGGCAGACAGCCTGAGCTGACGGCAGGTGCGTCAGCCTGGGAAAAGTGCCGTTAACTCGTTTTTTGCATCCAAATTAAAACACAGTGTGCAGACATGTCTACACTGACTCTGTTGACTTGTTCTTTCTAACTTATGTGTTGCCCCTGTTTTTCTGGCACTGGTCATGGAAATCCCAGTCTCCATCTAGAGCCCTGTCCCTTCAGCTGCTTATACTCGTGTGTAGGTGCTGGCTGCTGCTCTTGTGCCTTCTGGAGAGTGGAGAGCAAGGAGCAGAGTCTGATCCCCAACGGACCCGTACCCAGGAAATAACAACAGCACATACTGTGTAAGAGGTCTTACAAGTATTATTTTATTTCTTTTTTTTTTCTTTAAAATACTATTTACAATCTGTTTAAAGCTTGTCCGAACGCACGGACTCCCATTCAATGGAGCTGTGCAGGGACGTAGATTCAAGACAAGAATAAAATCTTTACTGTTCATCTTCATAAGACACTTCCTTTTTCCCATTACAAAATACTTTTAAGAATAGTAACATTTATAAATGTATCTATATTCAACATAATATAAAATAAACCATGATTTATATTTAATTCTAAGACTTTTTTCTTACTTTTTTTTTTATCTGGAGTATATACAATATATACAGTAAGTTTTCACTGTGTTCGTCAAAGCAGCCTGATTATACCCACCAGGCTTTAGCTTATATGTACAAATACGCTAAAAGTGCAAGACTTTATTAATTAAAGCTGCCTGTGTTTTCAGAGGTCTGGAATTGTGTGGCCTATATCTATATGTTTTCATATATAGATATACAAGTACATACTGCATATGTACTTTTAATGAATATGTACTTTTTAAATATACATTTTAAAATATGTATATTAAAAATACATATGTCTGTATATCTATATGTATATATAGAGAGATCTATAGGTGCTTGCGTACTAGAAAGCCTCAGAACATTAATGACTAACAGGTCGACACAGACACTGGAGCCAAACCCCGAGGCAGGGGACATTGGTCACCTTTCTACCCTCTGCTTGTCACCAACAAGTCACACTTGTGTTTTCTTGTAAGCACCTGTGGGGGGGTGTGAACCAAACCCACCAGCGCCCCTCAATTCCACATGGGTCCCAAAAACACAGGCCGTAGCTAACACCGAGGTAAACAAATACAAATCAACCTGAATAAAGAGCTTGCTTTATTTCATATGGTTTTTGAGCGAGTGCTAACATAAGGCAAAAATCCCACAGCCCCGACTCAGCCGTCCCCCAGCCTGGAGGCAGATGGAGCAGGGACCAAGCGAGCCCTGAAAAGGGACTGTGGGATTTTGTCCTTTGGAGCATTTTGGAAAACATGGCTCTACCCGTCAGGCAGCGCCTGGGACCCCGCGCCACCCACCAGCTGGGCCAGCGGCCGGGGTGGGCACTGGCAATAAAGATGGGGGAGGGGACACGTGATAAAGTGCATTTTAGGTCTCTTGTTTTAGCAAGGCCAATCTAACATGTAAACATCCTTGCACACCTCCTGTGCTTCTCCTCGAGAGGCTGTGAGGGTGGGGGGGCAATGCCAACCCCCTCCCTTGTCTGTGCAGCCCAGTGCTGCCATCAGAAGGGCTGTGTCCATGGCACAGCCCCGTCCGGCGCACCCACCACCCCCCCTAAAAACCTTCCAACCCTCTTTTCTTGGACTTGCTTTCAAAGCCACAGCAATGCCAGAGAACGACTCTGCTGGCTCCCTCCCTAC